CATCTCTAACAACATGAAATTATGAAAACCTAACTGAATCCACTTTAAATAACCGTTTATAAGATTTAAGTAATTGAGTAAATAATTTCAGGTCGCTAAACACACTATGTCCCAAACAATTTTACAACAACTGAACGTAAAGCTTTATTAACTTTTGGTTAACCAGACTCATCAGAATACATAATAATGCATGATATCCTTGATTAAAATGTTTAGTTTGACATAGAATTCGTGAAGAAGTGTCTACGCGTATGTATTACATTTTCAGTAGGTACTTGAAGTTATAATTTTAAATGCAGCTGTTATAAGAATGTTTTCAACTAACATGGTCAATGCTACCATATTAAAAATAGAAATTCGTTTGTTATTTAGTGAGAAATTAAAAGACTACGTATTTTGCGGAATTTCCTTTGATATCTTTTGTTCATTTTCTGATTTTTCCTGGAATTTAGAGTTTGTAAAAATAAAGCAAAATTGAAAGAATTTTGGTAAAGTCTTAGGTCTGGATTTTTTAATCCCAAATCCGGAATAATTCATAATTTCTTATACTTAGACGTTTCTTTTTATCTTTTCTTGGATGATAGAATTAGGAAAGAAACAATAACGATAAACTATTTCAGTTTTCCGTTGAAACTGTCAGTATGCTATTAAAAAGCACAATTGAATATTTTTGTCAGCTTTCTAATAGTCATCACTGAAGACCATTCATAACTTTTCTGATTGGTTCCATCCATTAAAGTGGAAGAAGAATAAGGATCTACCATCTACAGTATCTAAATATTTGATTATTTACAAATTTCAGTAAAATTTAAGTTGAGTAAATATAAATTAGTTTCTCTGAGTACAACTGTCATCCACATAAAACATTAACTCAGAAAATGTCCCCTTATTGATTCCGAATTTCAACTGACTGCTGACGCTATATAATTCATAGATTATACTGAACAAAATCATTGAGCAAGAGTCTGACCTCTGGCGAATATTTTGAAGTAACTTCAGGAAAATTCCTGTAACGTTTCCATTTATGAAGAAGGTTTTTCTGTAAATAAATGCTAATAACTTTCCTTGAGTCCTTGAAATTTCTTCTCCAGTATAAATAGTTTCCTTCTTCATAAAGTTACGATGAATGTTCGTCAAAATTCGTGAGCGATGCTCCGTCATTTGCTAGAAACCATTCGTAAACTGGCATGACACTTTTATTTCCGAACCGTAGGTGGGTGCGGATCAGTGCTTTAAGTGTAGCTAGTTTGCGTCTGTTACTATTTTCTTGGTTTCATTTAAACTGTTATGAAACTGTCGGAACATCGAAATTCTAATGGTCTGATACATTATAGATACATGCACTTGCATTAGATTTTACGATTAGATTACGATTTCAATATAGAGATATTCCATCTATAATTCTAATATAGTAGGCAAACTAGACTGTATACTGTTTTTAATTATGTAATCTACAAATAAATGTCAGACGTATTTCAAATAGTAGATTAGCTATTTGAATGCAGCATAAAATGATATCAAATAAAAGTTGCCGAATCATGGAATTTCCACTGCTACTTTTGTTTGAAATTAACTATTGACCTTGTTTTAAGTAATACCAGCATTATAATTATTATGTTGGTTGTTTCAACGATAAAACATCGCTTACCAGAACGATGATATTGAGTAAAAGTTTAACGATAATCTACCTTACTTCATTACTGGTTAGTAAAAAAATTAAAAATTTGTATTTGTAGTTGTCCATCGCTTTACTGAAATATTAATTTCTTCAGGATTTATTTGCTGTTGGTTTAACGGTTCCTTTGATTAGCTCGCACCTTTTATCAGTGGGTGCGTCACGAACTACGGTTGGCTTAGCCCAGTCCACTTATTCATTATTGCAAATTTTTTGGGGTCCAGTTTTTGTACGTAATATGCACTTTTTGTTGTACGTCTTCTTTTAAGTACTCATTTTTGTATTTGTCTCAAATTCCAGGGCAGTCTTAGTGATGCGTTTGGTAGAAAGTTTATTTTAGTTCTGGTAACATCTTCCTGTTCCCTTCTTTACTTCCTTCTGGGTTTTTGTAATTCCGTTTTACTCTTCTTCTTGGTGAGAATCGCTTTGGGTCAGTATCTATTTTCCGACTCATGATGGAATATCGGAAATCATTAATTCTCGTTTTAGGTTCAATAAAGCATACTCAAACGCTATGCAAGGCGGTAATCGCTGACATCATACCTAAAGAGAAGCAGACTGAAGTTTTGGGTTTTTGCAATGGTTTGAGTTCCTTAGGCTTTGTTTTGGGACCCCTGATCGGAGGGTACCTCTTTGAATATACCCATGGTTTTTATATGGTTTGTTGTTTGACGTCGTTGGCTTTTTTATGCAATTGTGGTATATAATAACATTTTTGATTTGATGTTTTATAAATGAAAATTATCCGATAGTGCATATTTTCTAAATTATTTTTTGTTGGAATATTCAAATTTTGAATTTTTGTATATTCGCTACTGTTTCACATTGCCTGTATGATATCCATAATTCGTGATATGGTGTCAGAACGGAAACAATAAAAGCGGAAGCCCTTAGGGACAATCCGAAGCCCTCCCTTTTTTGTTCAGAAATTTTCGATGACTTCAGAGATTCCGTTTTCAATCTCCTTCACTGAATACTCCATTTGATAAGGATTTAATGTGCAATGAGAGATTCAACTTTGGGCTGACGCTGTGCGTTTTTAGAATTTCAGGTTAGGCTACGTTAGCTTTTTAATATTGATGCAAATAACTGTGACGGAGGGTTGAATTCTTTTTCCTATCAGTTGCCCGAAGATAGCAGAGTTATAAACAAATAAATATAAATTGATCAACGCATAGCAAAGACGAGCAAACAACTGATTTGAAACCAATAAGGGGATGATTGAACCGTTTGAGTTATAATTTTTTCCATTAGAAAATCCTCACTAAAGTGAAAAACAACTCCAAAAATACCAAATGTTCCTCAAAATAGTTCCAAGTCGTCTTCCTCCTATCTTCATTAGCATTACTCTGTTTCCCCATAAGCATTACACCCTTTACCTATACTTACATCTCTAACAACATGAAATTATGAAAACCTAACTGAATCCACTTTAAATAACCGTTTATAAGATTTAAGTAATTGAGTAAATAATTTCAGGTCGTTTAATAAACACTTGGTTCTTTTTATTTTTGCAGTAACTTAATCCTTTGTAAATTAACCACCTTCAAATCCATTGGTTTTTAGTTTTTCTTTTGAAGGTTTGGTGGCAAATCTCCCAGAAGAGTCCGATAATAAGAAAGACAAAGAGAACCCTACAAATGGAGCGGAGTTATTTCAGGCCATTACTAACATGAAAACTATCCCATGGAAAGAATATTGGGACGCATTTCTACTTCGTCTTCTCTACGCCTTATCGGCATCAACGTACTTTTCTAATCAAGGTTTATATATACAAGAAAAGTTTAGTCTTTCTCAACGCCATGTCGGCTTCACTATTTCGTTCTTTGGAACGGTATCCTTGATTTCCAGCCTTTTCATGGGATTGCTCACGAAAAAATTCTATCCAAAAGATCCGGATTACTACAAACAACAGCTGCACGCTTATTCCTTAATGACTGTATCACTATTGGGACTTTATTTAGCTCCAAATGTCTATTGGTTTTGCTTCCTATTGCTTCCGTTTTCCATGGTGAGCACTGCACTGAGAATAATCAGTATGGAGCTATTGTTAAATCGTTCCAAAAAGGAAGATAACACTCGAGGGTGTCTAGTGGGAGCTTCGAACAGTGTCATGTCCTTCGCAAGATTATTGACCCCAATTACGTCCGGGGTTGTGGCTGATGCATTTGGCGACGATGCAACCATATTGATGTCAGCAGTACCCGCATTGTCTGCTACATTATTGACAGCAACTTTGTATGGACGAAAAGTTACAGATAAGAACAAAGATTTGTAACAATTGTTTTTATAAGAAATTTTATTGTTGAAAATGTATTGTAATTTTAATAAATGATTTACTTACAATACGACATTTTGTTATGAATAGTAGGTAGAAATTGTCTAAAAAAAAAAACAGGAAAACAAAACTACGACCGAAGAACACGTTGGGAAGGTAAATGAGACTCCTGTAAAAAAATATAATTGGGGTTGGTAATTGTCAGAGCTGCAATCTGAAGTTTTGCTGTCACAGGATGGTGAAGGATTTGATTCCTCTCTGGTTATTGGTTAACTCTTTCAAAAAGGGATTTGTGGAATTTGCATTGTGGTCGGGATACTTATAGTTTTTTATTTTGGATGTTTGACCAGAAAGCTAATCTCATAGTGTATTGAAATATGTATTTCTATCTTTAACCACAACAACTCAAAAATGACGTTTTTCTAAATATACCAAGAGGCTACACAAAACGAATTCTGTAGCATCTCTAATTTAAAAAATTATATCCATCGACAGATGCATCCACGGGCCCCTTTCAGCATGCGGAAGATGATAAAAGAGTTACCCAGCGCTATCTTTTATATTGGTCTTGGACTAGACGATCTAAAAGTTTCAAGGAACTCAAGAAATTTCATTATTATGCTATGAAGGAATAAAAAGAAATACTTGTTGCCAGAGAAGATTGTTGCTCTTTTAAACACCTACAGTTGATTGAAAATTGTACCATAATTAAGAAGTGCAGAAGCTTCAAATTATTAAGTTTCCATGAAATTGTGCATTTCATTTACGAATATTGTTTCGTTTCATCGAAATATTTAAACGTAAATTCTACAGATATACTTGTAAATAAATATACAATTTTGTGGAAATTAAAACGAGAAGTCAAATGAGAGGACGAAAACTGCTGAACTGAAGATATAGTCAGTCAATATTCCTCGGCAGATGTCTCCATCATGCACATTCAACAATTTTGCCGTATGTAACTCCAATCAGAAAAACATTAATTGGCCCCCCATCTTTTAAATATTGATGTTCTTAGTAACCTTTCTGAAAGTGGTGATTATTGTTTTCACTTCCCCATTCACCACTTGACCCCAGCAAGTCAATTCTTTCATTTTACTTCTTAATCAGCTTCGAAAACTTCTTTATTCATATGTAACTGCAAAACGTTGGAGTTTTACGATTTATTAGATTATCGTTAAGGCTATTATTTAATTTGTGGAGATGAAGATAAAAGCCATGTCCGGAAATCTTTTTTTATCGATTCCATCTGATGAGACTTTCCTATTTTTTCAAGATACCTACTTTTGGAAGATGGCTTTTTGTAGAAGTTTTTCCATTTTTTAATCACATCCTTAGTTGTCTGTAGGGAATACTATCTACTCTAATAGATGCTGTTCATTTACCATTAAAATCAGGAATTTAATTAATTTGTTTATTTAATATCTCTTAAACTATTCTCTTATTAATGAGGCCTTAGAATTTGGAGGGATTCTCTAAATTAATATAAACGTCTAGCAACTTTGAAGATCTCCTGGAGCGGTTAATTTTGTTCTTTTTTTTGATATGTTTATTTGTGCCGTAGACTATCAGTATGAAAATAATCTATAATCTTTTTTTATCATGTTGCGTAAGATCCAGACAATACATACAGATAAGGCAAAATGTTCACCGAACATTGAAATTACATATTCCTTTGTCGGCGTTTTTCCATTTTACGTCGCACGTTAAAGATCGTGTGGAATATTTTTTTTTCACCAAGACTATCTGAAAATACCACCTCCTCGTTTGCAAAATGACTTAAACTAACCTCAAAATATATTGAACAAAGTGTAACACCTTGCAAATGCATTAAAATATATTAAATGATTTTTTTTGAGTCTTGGTCAGATTATATCAAATAGAGTGATTGTAAAAAAGACATTACTATTTCCGAGGTAAAGAAATTCATAGTTAAATCTTAGTGAGCTCTGAATTCTGTCATGGCTACCGTACACGTAATGGCGTTCTTCCTTTCTTATACTACTTTGTTATTTATATGAAAGACAGCTGAAGGTAGATCTATACGACTTTCCCTATACTACATCATACCTTTCAAAAGATGATGTCACCCCTTGATGGTGTGATGGAATATCCTCATGTACAGGTCAAGTCTCATTTCGCCACTAGTGTATACGAGAAAGCAGGCACTTAAGGCACTTATACATTGTGTGATAGTTTCCTTTCAGGTTAACAATAAGTTAAGTTGTAAGATAAATGACAACAGCAATATCACATAAACAGTACAAACACGCAGAAGCATTTACTTAGACACAAATTTTTGTAACTTTTATCTAATAACACAAAACCAGAAATGTATCGGCAACGAATGTAGTAGCATTGTTTGTAATTAACGTTGCGTTGTAGTAACAAAACATGTGCATCGTACTTAGATAAACTAAAAAATTATTTATTAAAACCACTTCCTTTTCTTTACAATACTTATTTATCAGTTTATTTATTTATTTCATCAGAAAGAACATGGTTCTGAAAACTATTTATTTTGTAGCTTTTGTTGTACGTCGATGAACTAATGTAATATTACTTATTTACTGAAAGTAAGTTAATTTCAGGATATTTTTTGTATTGCTCTGGTAGTCCCATTAATAGTCCCGCATATTTTATCGGATGGCGGGTCAGTATTCTTATCTGGTGTTGTAGAATCGATTTGCGCTGGATTACAATTTATTAACGCACCAATTGTGGTAAGTCGAATTTTATTTAAACAGTTTATACAAATACTGTTTCAAATTAATAGGGATTAAGTGTTTTTTATCTGTAAAATAGATATTAACCGTATACTATCTCTAATTCTACACAATTTGTCAAGATATGAGAAAGCATTTCCTGAAGTTCTTACATTTTTTGAAGTACGCTTTATTTTAATGATATGAGACTTAAAAATTACGATGGGATATGTAAAATATTATTTCTAAGTATTAACTTGAATTTTTAGGGCAGTTGGAGTGACACATTTGGAAGAAAGAAAGTTTTCACCTACACGTTGATTACATCTCTTGTGAGCAATTTACTTCTTCTGGCATCTCCTGGTTCCTTGGTCATCTTCATATTTGCAAGATTTTTAAATTGTAAGACAATTACCGTTCTACTTTTAACAGCACTTCAAAAAAAAAAAAAATAAGAGAAACAAATACGGTCAAAATTGAAACATTTCATCTTATTATCAGTAAAACAATTAAAAAGAGGAAATATGTCTCCCGACTAGAATATTGGAAGGGGGAAGGTAGAATCCCAACAAGGTTAGACACCCTATCTCGTGTGGACACTATATTATACACAAAGGGCGTATTATTGCCTCATTTAATAAATGCCGCATGTGGCCATCCTTGGGAAAAACAGTTATTACCCGGTTTAAAGAGATTTTGACTGAATCAATTGGGTTATAACAGTTGACAATTTTAAAATATGGGCCAATAGCAGATAATCATGATGTTATCTAATAAATGGGCCTAGAGTTGATGTTTGTTTAATCGAACCTCTTTGAGGCAGATGGTGGAATTGCCCAATTCTTTATAAGATTTGCCTTATAAGTTCCATATGAAAAACTCATAAGGCATACCTCACTTCAGTGTAGCCTATATGAACCCACACACTACATTAGGCATGTCCCCTATTCTAGTCGGGTTGATGAGACTGTCAAAAGAATTCTACGCTTTCACCACATTCCCTCAGGATGATAATTGCAGAATCTAGCAAAACGTCAGATTGACTCTCTTCTCTCGATGTCTCTACTCGTGGATTCAATCGAGAGAAGAGAATCAATCCTGAACCACANATCTAAAATCAGCCACTTCTTCTAATTTTTCGTCTCCTATCTTTATATTCGCTCTTTCCCTACTTTTTCTTCCCTTGCATATCAGCCAAAGATATAGCAAAAAATTTTATTTTATACCAACTTTTGGAACTCTTTATAGCACACATCGTAAGATATCAAGATGTGTACGTTGAAACAGGTTGGAAGACAACTGATTTCACCCTTTTTTTCAAATCACCTTATTTCATATTTCTTCCAAAAGCTAAATTCGCTTAACACCACACCAGCATGGATAGAAATAATCCAACCAGTGGAAAACAACTAGCAACACCTCGCACATTTTATATAATTGGTGGGAGTTTTCTCTGAACTCTTCATTATACTGGTAGAATGTTACCATCTAAACATATTATAATACCATACATGTCTGAATCAGTTCCTAAATCAATTTCTTCTGGGTCCCTTACGAAACAAGATATCGTATAAGAAAGAAACGTCACAGTGGGTACATTTAGAATTTATACGTTTCATATTTCAGTGTAATACCAACCTAGCCAATACTTTTTCTTCTCGACAGGAGTTATCGTCGTGGCGAAAACGGTCCGAGTTAGATTTTATCGGCGTAAGTTGTTGGTTTAGAGTGAACGTTACAATTTCGACGATAATGTCCGGGGACAGTGCATGAAATTCAAATGAGCATAGAGTAGTTGTGCGATTGGTAAAAACGCGTAGCGACGGCGTACCGCAACGGTACCGGCGTCGTCTCGGGGTTAGTTGCGCGCCGTGTTTCCATGTCAAAGCCGTAACCTACGTGCCGTGGTGAAATACTGCACCACAAGGAGCTGAGGACCGCAGAACAATAGCTAAAGGTGTCGCCCGGCAAAAATGGAATGACTAAGCAAGAAACATTGCACGCAAATAAGAAATACGGGATGGGACTCGGCTATTTGTATTCCTCCTACAAGACTGTGTTCTCTCCGATAGACAATGCAGGTGTGTGTTGTAAGAGACGCCCCCATATCGCGCGTCCCTCTGTTCCCATTAAAAATGTTATTTAACGGCTAAAGCGATACATACACACGCAGTAATTGTAAATCTTTGACACGACGCCTTATCCTCGTACACAGTGTTCACAAATTCAGAAAAGTCTATTAGCCTTGTCTCAGTGCTGTTGGACCAAAAAGGAAAAGTAGGTACCATTTTTTGGAAGAATTCTCTCATGCTGAACGAAATTTTATAACTTTTGGCATATGACAGGACAACATTAAACATGTTAAAGTTGTATGTCTGGAGCACCGTTCTGTACGGGTGCATAACGTGGGCACTGGGCACAGTAAGAAAGAAAAGTTTGGAAGTGTTCGAAATGTGATGTTTCAGGCGAATAATGAGGGTACCGTGGACAGAGAAGGTTAGAAATGAAGAGACATTAGAAAGAGTAGGAGAACAGGGAACGCTATGGATTCAATGAGAAATAAGTGAAATAAAATAATTTGAAGTGGTCTGTATTCTGTCGAAACTGCCAGACGCGGATCGCGATTTCGATCTTTTTGGATCTCATCAGCGCGTCGCACGCAGCTCCGACAGAACACACACCAACTTTTACCTGCTGTCTTAACAGTGCGTTTTAGAAAATACCACAAATGGCGCAGTAAACGCCATCTGTAGCACGATGCTACATTTTAGGATTACGTATGCTCCAACAAGGTCCACTTGTGTGGATATCTACTTGCTGAAAACGAATCCCAGTGTAGCCAACCTCAACGTGATAGGCACGTTAGCTTAATCGAATAAAATAATTCGAAGTGGTCGGTATTCTGTCGAAACTGCCAAACGCGGATCGCAATTTCGATCTTTTTGGATCTCATCAGCGCGTCTTTAAGAAGTGAAATAGGTTGGAAGGACACCTTTACAGGCTTGAAGATTTAACGAGAGACATACTACAAGCAGAAACAGGAGTTAAAATGAGTAAACGTGAATCCACAATAGATTACTGTTAGCAAATCATTAAGGATGTGGGATGTTCTAGTTTTAGGGAATCCTATGATGATGATGATGGAAGGATAGTGAAAGAATAAATGGGGAGAATGATAAAAAAATGAGAAGAAATAGTTTCTCATCGCATTTTACATTCAATGATACCATATCGACAAAAAAATACTCCCTTTCATGTGTACGTGATAATTAATTAAACGACACGATCCTAAAGTTATGTGCTACGGTGTCAGTTGACTAACATTGACTTAATTATCTTCTTTTTATCAAGTGTTTTGTTCATATGATTAGTTATAATAGCTTTAGGACTAAAGAAAGGTGTTAAAAACGTGGTGTACGAGACATACTGCCAAAAAAAAATTATAATCATTAAATGTGTAATCGATTGATGAACATACTGTATTTAAGGAGGTGTCATATGTATTTAGTAAATTATTATTGTGCTTATACTTAAGCGCAGTCATTTCTCTTCTTAGATACTGATCTGAGTTTACCCCTTAAACAGCATTTACAGATTTAAGGTGGCACATGATCGTGTATTTGATAAACAGAATCAACTTCCAGTTCATTAATGATTTTGACGAGTTATGTTATTGCCCGTTACACGTAGTTGATGACACAGGTTAGTTTTCAACTCTTCCATTATATTACACTGCCCACGCACATCTAGCAGTATCGCCTAAACTTCCTTGTTGCAGATCATCACGAAATATTATAACAGAGAACTACTCATATTTCGTCATAATGAAGAAATCGTTAATTAATTAAAAAGTGGTAAAATCCCTGGACCATATCAGTTTAAAAACAAAAACAATAACCGCTTTGCAAGAGTGGATATGGGAAAACTCAAGGAAAAATTTGAAAATCCTAGAAAGTTTTGCACCAAAACCACGGGATATTTAAGAATTTTGTAGAAAACATACATTTGTATTCTAAAAGTTCTGCTACTGATTATTATTATTTGATAACTATTGAGCCGGGTAGTTGACAGCTTAACAATTGAGGACATATCATGTGTTCGATTCCAAATAGGCCTACCCTGGTCTTTGTTTTTCTATGTCTTTTTTGGATCAATAAGTAAATGCTGTACGGTAATAATCTACAGATGGTCTATCACTTTTGCAGTGTTTTCTGCCCGTCTCTCGTCTTTTCCTCCCTAATCACTTTCACTCACTTGTCCTCACAATTCGTAATAGGTAAAGAGGGAAGAAACCCTTCCATCCTGTTCGCCACTTTGTATCAGAGTGTTAACAGGTGGAACAACCGGTCCACCAAATCGCAAGAAAGCATTTGAAGATGAATTAATCAAAAGTATTTCTATCTTGTCCATTAAAATATCATTTGCAGAATGTGTAGGTTATTGACATTTATCTACGTGGAGTATTATTTAAATTGGTGGTACTTCGTGAGTATAAGTTTCTCCAAATCTGGAAGACGTCACTGCAATAATTAAATTTTCGAATTTTTGAAGGATGATTATTAGCCAGATCTTGAAAGTAGGTTAGGGGGTTTTCATCTCTTCTTCGTTCTCGCATCCAACTTGATATTCTTTATGCTGCATTACGGTACAAGTATTAATTTAACAATACAAATTCATTTTTTGACGTGACAACGTCTTATAATTCGATACACGCTCGAAAAAACATGANACTGTGAATGTTGTATATAAAGACATTCTGTAGTATATTTAGTATGTTCAGGAGGTATCTTTTGAAGATTTCCCCTTTTCGATAATAATCTAAACAAAACAAAAATTTTTTTAATATCAGCATTGCACCCGTGCGAAGCTGGGGCGGGTCACTAGTTTTATTTAACAGAGATCGCCTCTATTCTGTTGTTAAACCACATCCTTAACTAATTGCAAACATCTGTCTAATCATCTAATCTAGTGTATCTACTCCTCTTAACTCCTATTTTTGCCTCTAATATATCTATGACTAGCGTTTCCAGTCTGACAATTTACAGGACATCATCTCTATGAACGTCACTCTTTTGTTCGTTTTTTAACGATTGTGAACAGTAATCAAATTTAGGGCTACCTCTACTCCTCTTAACTAGTATTTCTGCCTCTAATATGTCTCTGACTAGACCTTCATGCCTGAGAAGATGTCCTATCAACCTATCTCTCCCATTTTTTATTGATTTCCGTAGTGTCCTCTGTTCTCCTACTCTTTCTAATACCTCTTTATTTCTAACCTTCTCTATCCACGGCATCCTCAACATTCGCCGGTATCACCACATTTCGAACGCTTCTAATCTTTTCTTTTCCGATTTGACTTCCTTTTATTGAAGGCGACTCGACCCTGCGCTATCCTCTGCTTTATATCCTTACTACTCCTTCCTTCCTGACTTATCTGACTTCCCAGATACCT